CTGGTTCCGTCGGGTCCCTGGGCCGAGCAGCATCTTCCAATTGAACCCAAGGAGGCGTTTGCCGGGCGTATATTAATGCTGAGAATCCCCCCAACAAAAAACCGTTTGCCAAGTCCATTGGGATGTTCGCAGCGTCGATATCCCAGCGGAGGCCCCCCGCGAAGTTTTGGAACTGGTCCGAGGGCAAGGTGAGTTAGTCCGTGCTGATCCGTTGCGTGTCGGGTTTATCATGCAGGGCGACTTCAATATCGCCAACTCGGAGGCGGGGGCTGGGCGCCAGGATCGGGCGGGGGATCGGCTTTGGATAAAGTCTTTCGCAAGCTCGCGGAACTTGCGGCGGGCGCGCCGACGCGTCGGCACCAAGGGGGCCCGCTCGGAAGCTTGTCTGGACAGGACGGTTACGGCCACCCCCCCATGGATTCTGCGTGAAAGCCACCAGTCGGTCTCAAGGCTGGACGAGCCTCGTGAGATGTTTCTGCGCGGCGTCAGTGATCATTGCCCTGCCATTGTAATATTGTCGGCTCGTCCTCCCGAGTCGGCTGAGCATAGGCGCCCTCGCAGTCTCCCTCGGCTGGTGGTTTCTAATCCCCTCTTCCCCGAGCTCGTCTCCGAATGCGAGAAACTTGTCTGCTTCGACGGGCTCGATGCCCCTGCGGCACTCGATTTGGCCACTCGCTGTAGGCAAGCTGCAGGTCCGGCGACGCGAGACCATGCGCTGTCGCGCGACAGCCGTGCTATGATGTCTCGTGCCATGGTTTCCAGGACGCTGGCGCGCTGCGTTTCTCGCCAGGACGCGCGGCTTGCCAGGGCCATCCTCGCTCGCCACAGCTGGGCGCAGCAGCACTTGGGCGTTTCGGCCCTCTGGGGGGTGTGGCTGTGTGACCCTGGGGCCCTCCAGGACCTGCGCTGCCCCTTGCAGCTCCAGGGGCGCAGGGCTTTTCGCGAGCATCTCGAGGCTGATGCTCGAGGTGAGCCTCGCCCAGGGATGCAGCAGCGCATTCGCGCAAGGCGTGCTGCTTTGGTGCGTCGCTCGCGGCTCTGGTGCCCATTCGGGAGACGGAAGTTCTTGGCGGGGGTGCTTGGGGCGCTGGGCGGGGGCGGCGGCGGTGCGCCGGGTGGGATTTCATCTCCCGAAGGGATGGCTCATGTTCGGAATCGTCACTGGGCCCCCATTTTTGGCCAAGAAACCCCGACGCCGCCAAGCGCGTCGAGGTGTGCCCAGAAGTTTCGCAATTCAAGTCTGGACTTTCGGGATCTTCCTCCTCCGTCTCTGGGCGCCATCTCTGGGTACTTGGCCCGTGCCTCCTCCTCCGCTCCAGGCCTTGACGAGCTTCCCTCCTCGTCCTGGCGCCATGGGGCGGGCCCGAAAATTCTGCACCAAGTCCTGCTGTGGGTCATGGCTGGCCATTTGATGCCGCCAGAGTTTTGCGCCCCGCTACAGGCGTTCATTCCGAAGTCTCTGCCTGGAGACGACCCGTCAAAGGACGGGCTAGAGCGTTCTGCGGGTGACGCACGCCCGCTCGGCCTGAAAAGTAGTTCGAACAAGACTGTTGCTGCGGTGTTGAATCGGAGTTTGACTCGAGCGTTGCAGGCCCTCGCTGCACCTTCCCAGCGAGGCTTTGCCCCTCGTCGTAACTTGTTGGGTAACCTCGCAGATTTGGACACGCAAGCTCGGAACACCAGTGTCAGGCACTTCGGAGATTCCACTCACGCCCCCCCCCCTCCTCGCCTTCGGCTTCTCTCAGGCCTTCCACTCGGTTCGGCAGGAGTGGATGATCCTGAATGCGCTCCTGGCCCCGATCCCGCGCGGCTTTAAGACAGCGGTTGCAGTGTTTCATTGCTTGAATCCGTGTTTCTCTGCCCAGGGGGATGAGGAGTTTTTCCTGTGATGGATGCTGTCTGGCGTCCTCCAGGGATGCCCCTTGTCGGGATCTCTCTTCCTCTTTGCCGTCAATCCTTTCATTCGAGATGTGGAAGCCCCCCTCGCCCGCGTCAATCGCGGGCTCGTCCGCGCGTGCGCTGACGACATTGGAGTGATCGTTTGGCATTTCGACGGGCGGCGGCATCGCGGCAGGATTGTCGGTCTGGCTGATGAGTTGGCGACCCTGGTCTTGAAGGATCGGAAATGCGTCGCCGTCCCTCTTTGGGCAGGGCTCTCCCCAGAGGTTCAGCTGCGCCTCGAAGAGGCACTCGCTTTTGCTTGCCCGTCTTGAACCCCTTTTTCAAGATTGCGGGTGAAACGGTGTACCTCGGCTGCCTCATAGGTCCCTCGGGTGGGCCCTCGGACGCCTGGAGTGCCCCCTTTGAGAAGGCCCTGGGCAGGTGCTCCTCGCTTGGCGCCCGTGGGGCCCCGCGCGCTACTTCTCTTGAGCTATATCAGTCTCGGATCCAGACGGCGCTCTGCTATTCAATGCAGCTTTACCCTATGTCTTGGGCACAGTCCCAGATCGAGCGGAGGATGTTAGCGCGCGTCTTCCGCGCCCCCTTCTCGATGTTCCGTCGCAGCGATTTGTTTCAACTCAGGAGTTTCGGGCGCCCTCAACCCGTCAGTGCACTCGCTTTGAGCGCTGGGGCCATGATGCGGGCAGATCTCCTCGCGCGCAGCATTTGGCAGGGTAATATTGCTCGGCTTCGGACGGTCACGAGGGAAGAGGGAAGATTTGGGTGGCGGGAGGGATCCGCGCTAGCGCCCCCCTTTTGGAAGCCCCCTGCGATCGCGGCCTCGCTTGGTGATGCGGGATGCGGCTTCCCCACGTCGGCGGCGCTGCGGGCAGGGGGCTCCGAGGCACTGGCCCCGTTTCGAGACCCCCCCCCCGTCCCACGAGGAGTCGAGGAGAAGTCCTCGGTGGCAGGTTCGGTTCGTTGAGGTTTTCCAGCGCGTCCTCTTCTCGACCCCTTCTCTTGGCCCATCGTCGCCGTCGCGTGAGGAAACATGCTCGGGTGCTCATGCGTTTCTCTTCCGAGGACTGGGGGGCCTTCAAGTCCGTCCTCGATCAAGCCCCAGCAGCATGGTCACTTATCGCCCCACGCACTCTCTTGGGGGTCCCGCTCACGGGCGGGGGGATGCAGCGAGCGGCGCGCTGTGTCTTGGGTTGTGAGGCCTGCCCAGACACGCTCGCCCGCCATCTGAACTGCCCTCGGCTCTTGTACTGGGCGTCAGTCTGTTTTCGGCCCCCTCTTCCGTCTCATCCGATGTTCTATCTCGGGCTCAGAGGTGGCCAGCTCGCGTTTGTGGTTGCCCTCTATCACTTGTTCAGTATCTCCTCTCGCCTCGCCTCTTCCCTCCGCCGCCCGATCGCCCTCGAAGAGGCAGGGCGACTGGTAGGCGCCACTCGTCTTGCTGCACGGCTGCCAGCTTGGCGTCGGCAGCGTGCCCTCCTCGGCAGGCGCGCCCTGGCCGCCGCTGTCGTCGAGGCCCGCGGATGTCGCCGTGGCCCGCCGCTGCCATCGCTGCGGCCGCCATTGTATATCGTGCGTGGCAGCAGCAGCAGCGGCGGCAGTAGCAGTAGCAGTTGTGGCAGCAGTAACTCAGGCAAGTAGAGTGGACGGACTCCTCTGGGCACGTTCCACCTCCTCCTCCTCCTCCTCCTCCTCCTCCTCCTCCTCCTCCTCCTCCTCCCCCCCTCCTCCCTCCTCCCTGCGTTTCGCCCACCCGCTACAGCGTTTCGTGGCCCCACCGGAGGCCCCAGTGCTACCGCCCGCGTGCGTCACCCACACCCATGTCGGCACAACCCTCGCACGCTTCGTGGCCCCATAGGGAGCTCCACCGAAGGCCCCAGTGCCGCCGCCCGCATGCGTCACCCACGCCCATGTCGGCGCACCCCTCGCGCGCTTCGTGGCCCCACAGGGAGCTCCACCGAAGGCCCTCGTGCCACCGCCCGCACGCGTCGCGCACACCTATTTCGGCACGCCCCTCGCGCGTTTCGTGGCCACAAGGGGAGCTCCACCGAAGGCCCTGGTGCCACCGCCCGCGTGCGTCACCCGCACCCATTTCGGCGCACCCCTCACGCGCTTCGTGGCCCCATAAGGGAGCACCACCGAAGGCCCTCGTGCCACCGCCCGCATGCGCCACACACCCATGTCGGCACACCCCTCGCACGTTTCGTGGCCACATGGGGAGCACCACCGAAGGCCCCATTCCCACCGCCCGCATGCGTCCGTCACCCACGCCCATTTCGGCGCACCCCTCACACGCTTCGTGGCCCCATAGGGGCTTCCATGCTTTTCGCTTCGAGAGGGGGGACCAAGTGGAGGAGGACGAGGAGGAGGGGGAGGAGGTTGATGGGGAAGGGAGAGGAGGAGAAGGACGACGAGAATGAGAGGGAGGAAAAAGAGGAGGACGAAACGCAGGGGCGGGAGGGGAAGGGAGCACGGAGGAGGGATAAGGGGTACGGGATGAAGGAGGAGGGCCAGGATGGACAAAAGGAGGAAGCACATGAGCTGACGAGACCACGATCCTGGGCATTCGAAGTCTAGGGGCGAACTCTGTAGATGGACCTGGCGGCCTCTTTCTGGGGCTATGGGCTCTTTGGGTGGCGCCCTGGGGCCGTCCCACGGGTAGGCCCATCAGTTGCGGAATTGCACGAGGATGCAGAGGATGGGCGCGAGGTTTAGTCGGGCGGCAAGCGAGATGGAGTTGGAGCATCCGAAGGACGAGGACGGAGGAATATGAAGACAAGAGGGGGAGGAGGAGGAGGAGGAGGAGGAGGAGGAGGAGGAGGAGGAGGAGGAGGAGGAGGGAAATGAGGGAAAGGAGGAGGGGGATGCGAGATAATATCGAGGGAGTGCCCAGCAAGGTCACGGCCGGGAGGTCCGCATCGACGACCACCGAGGCGGCACCATAGACGCCGCGCCACCTTGGGGCCGAGACTCTGCAGGGGGCCAGGGATGTCATCTGCCGCAGTCGCACCTGTCCAGGACTCTTTTGTTAATCGCAGCAGTCTTACGACCTATCCTTAAGGGGAGCCCGAGTGGGAGGGAGGGCTGCGGAGGGAACGTAGGAGAACGCAGTCGACGGTGGAGCACCCGGTGTTGGCGCGGATTTGGCGGCTGCAGCGGCTTCGGCGCCGCCCGCGGGGCTTGCTCTACGCGGCGGAGGCTCGAATACCCCTGTTCCGCCGACCATCCGCCCTCCGCCCTCATCCCCCTCCCAGTCCGAGACTTTTCCATACCCTTGTACCCCCTCCCCCGTATCGCTGTTTTCTCCCATCGTCGCCCGCCCACATATGTATGACCCCTTCCCGTTTCTACCTCTTGTGTGTTTCCATCGCCCCGAGCCCGTCCTCACCCTCCTCATCCTCAACTCGTCCCCGCTGCCCTTCTCCATTCGCGCTTCTACCTCGTCTCCGCGGGGGAGGGGGGGTAAGGGTGGTGGTGGAAGGATTGGACTCGTGCGGGTGCCCCAAGGCGGCGCTGGCCTGGCTGCGGGAACTGCTGCGGCCTACGGGCATGTCCTACGTGCTGTCCGTAGTGAGTCTTCTGGTGCAGAACGTCTGCCTCGACGTGTTCCTCGCGAGATTCGTAAGCCAGGCCGTATGGTTTATTCTGGTGGTGGAGATCCCGCTCGTCATCCACGTCGCGTGGTTCTGGCGGCCCGAGAGCGCCCACAGGGCCGCACCTGTGCAGTGGCTGGTCTACTCGTGGATCCACGCCGCGAAGGTAGTGGTGCTCTTCTGCAGGGTGATGCCGAGACTGCCCACAACAATTACACAAGACGTGGACTCCGAGGCGATGTTCGGCACTGCCAGCGAAGACGCAACCTTGACCATCCTTGGTTATGGTTTCTCCCTGAACGTCGTCGCAGACATTTTCAGCGCTCCCATCCTCGCAACGCTGCTGCTCATCACGCCAGTTTTCTATGCACTCCTTATGTTCCGCACCAGTAAGGCCATCTTCGGGTCTTTCTCCAAGCGCATCACAGTATGCCGTATCATGCACTTCGACATGTTGTGGCACGTGGTGATAGACATGGTGGACCAGGTGAATATTTTCTACCTGTCGCGTGCGAGCGAGTGGGGCGGTTCCAAAGCGCTCGAGCGTGACAGCCAGATCGTGACGATACAGAATGCTGCAGTCTTCCTGCTCTTTCTTTCATTTGTGCTTCAGGCCCAGGCGCTCCCTGGCGTCTTCATGGACCAGTGGTACATACCCGAGCCGCCGCCCCTGCCCGCAGAGTTGCTGGAGGAGCTGAACGGCCAGGAGCTTACCGGCGGCATCCGAAGCCATAGCAGCCAGAGCCTCGGCGGCCGGAGCAGCCTGTTACCGTCGACAAAGTTTATGGGCTCCTCAGCGCGCTTGTCCACGAGCTCGTTCCCGAGGTCCTCGGAGGGCAGGACTTCCTTGGCCGCCCCGCCCTCGTGGCTGTCAGAGGCGACCTCTTCGCTAAGGAGGCCGCCCGCAGTGGCCTCCCTGGCCATCCCTGCCGTCCCGGAGTCGTACCTGGCACAGGCACAGGGCGACATTGAGGAGCCGCCGGAGGACCCAGAGGTCGAACAGGTCAGGCCGTCGCTTCAGCCGCCGCTTCCCGGCCTGCAGCGGCGGGCTTTGCAGCCCCAGCGCTCTGTCAGCACCCTTTCCGCTGTTGGCGAGGACCTCGCTCGCTTCCTGCCTTCTCAGAGGATCCCAGGGATGGGCCCAGCAGTGATCGAGTTGACCTCAGCCAGGCCAGAACGAAGCTGCCATCTCTCTCTCTCTCTCTATCTCTCTATATATATGTGTGTATATATATACATATATATATATATTCTCGCACTGCATGTCGGTGTCTCTCTTGCTTGAGTTGTTTCTCTCTCTCTCGCTCTTTCTCTCCACATCTCTCTGGCAGAATAGTTTGTGCGCATGTTAGGGCAACCAGCATCACGACAACATTAAAGTAGAAAGCACGGCAGCAGCTCTCCGATTGCAGTTTCGTTATTGCGGTCTGACATGCCAGGGGTCGGCTTGAGCCTTGCTGGGTCCCCCAGCCTCTTGTAAGGGTGGGAAGAGCAGGGGGCAAGGATGCAGAACCTGTAGCGCGGGCGGCGACTTGTGATTCGGGGCGGGCTCCGACTGCCAACAGCATCGGGCACCGAGCGTTATCCCAACAAGACCCATCGCTGCCAAGAGCGACAACGACGCCCCAGGATTCAAGAACCCCGACGCCGATTACGGACTACAGGCGATCGCTGTCAATGGCCGCGCACGGTGAAGCGTTTCTGAAGCGCGAGAAGGAGCGTAGAGATCGGTTGCAGGACATCATCAACCAGATCCATCGCCACAGTGTAGTCGTTGCACGAAAGAGGTCTGCCGTGGGATCTATCTTCTTCATTGACATTCCTTTCTTAGCCCTGCGGCTGTCCATGGCCTTCATGATGGGGTCCACGTACTTCCCCGGCTTCGGCATCAAGAACGCGATCTGCATCGTGCTGAACGCGATGCAGTGGGGGGTGGTCAGCCTCTCCAACCGTGAGTCGGCGCAGACCATCCAACGGGACCTCGCCACGTACCTGGCGAAGTTCCACGGCGGCCCCGAAGCTGGCGTCGGCGACGACTCTCCGAAGAGCGACAACTTGCTGAGCCCCACGCGCTCAGACAAGGATCGGGGGTTGCCCAATGCGGTCCTGGCCCACGGTATTCCCATGCTTCTCGCGCTAGTCTGGAGCCCCTGGGGCCCGCTGGGCCTCTGGAGGCCACCCGAGCCTCCCTGGCAATCCGGGGGACACCCAGGGCCGTCAGCCGGGGGCACCCCTGGCAGCACCTGCAAGGACCAGAGCGCGCCGTCCACGCCGCAGCAGTCGCCCATGAGCCCCAGGCACGCGAGCCCGCTGGCCGCCAGCGCGCAGCGGCGGGGCCTGGCGGCGGGCGACGTGTCGGCGACCGCGGCCTCCCGCCGCAGGGCGAAGGAGCCGAGGGAGGCCTCGCCCTCGTCTGCGAACGGGCCCACTCGTCGGGTCGGACGGTCGGACGAGAAGGGGGGCGGGAACATGGAAGGAGGAGACGCTCACTCTGCTGCGGGCTCCAGCTAAGGCCCACATGCCATGATCCGCATGGCGTCGGTGCCTCATGTCGGCACGCCACTCGCACGCTTCGTGGCCCCATAGGGAGCTCCAGCTAAGGCCCACATGTTAGGGTCCGCCTGACGTCGGTTCCTCATTTCGGCACGCCCCTCACACGCTTCGTGGCTCCATAGAGAGCTCCAGCTGAGGCCTAAATGCCAGGGTCCGCATGGCGGCGCCACACTCATTTCGGCACACCCCTCACACATTTCGTGGCCTGATAGGGAGTTCCCTTGAAGGCCCCAGACACCGCCCACACGTTTCGTGGCCTCATAGGGAGCTCCACCGAAAGCGCTGCCACAACACACAACTCACACAACTGGGATAAGTGTCTCCTCGGGCTGTCCTGAAGGGCCTCTCCGAGCCCTCTTGGGCCGTCTTGGGAGCCCCTTGGGCCGTCTGGAGGCCGTCTTGAGAGCCTTTATATGCAGTCTGCGGCCATTATGGGCCGTCTGATGTCATCTTGGCGTTCTTGGGAGTCGTGTTGGAGGCCATGTTGGCCGTCTGGAGGCCGAAGATACCGCTGGAGAGCACGCTCAGGGGAGGCGATTGACGGACCACGCGCGCGGGTAGGAGGGGGGGTCGAACCTAGAACGCATTTGAAAGACCTCCCAGACAACAGACGAGCATTCCCACACGCCCCCTCCGTGTGGGCACGGTGGCGGATGGCGTGGGGCGCCTACGAGGCACCCACGAGGCGCCTATAGGCGGCCACCAAGCGAAACTTCGGCGGGCCCACCCGTCGCAGGGGGCGCCCGCGAGCGCCCACGAGGCGCCCACGGGCGGGCACAAGGCGAACCTTTGACGGACCCACCCAGGGCGCGGGGCGCCCACGAGCGCCGACGGGCGGGAATGTCGAACATCCTCGGCGGGCCCATCCAGCTACTTGAGATGAGCAACAGTTCTGGTAGCCTGCGTGAGTCCCAGACAGCTGGCGATTGTGCTGTGGATGTGCAAGCTATGTGGTGCAAGCCATGCGGTGCAAGCTATTTGGTGCAAGTTGTGTGGTGCGAGCTGAGTGGTGCAATTCTTCACGCTTCGCCTATCCCCCGCCGGAATATCCATCCACATAGTGGCACACGCAGCTCGGCGCTGGAATGTAGTGGGGATTTCCTCCCTGCAGGAAGCTCACCACCGCCTCGCCGGAGACGCCGCGACCATCTCACACCTGGCGGGAAGAGAGATCGAGGCCCCCCTCCCCGGAGGCTACATTCACCCAGAACTCCAAGAGCAAACAATGAGCTGGCTCGACCCCTTCGGTTACGTCCAGGAGGGAATACTGACAGGCGACCGGATAGCGGTGGACAGAGGGGTTCAGGTTCGAGCAGCGAGGGCAAATACCCGAAACAGCACCAGACACGGCGGAGGACCGGGAGGACACCGCGCTCCCCCCGAAGCGGACGGCAAAGCGGACGGCAGCGCACAAGCTACCACGACCCCCTGGCATGCGGACATCAGACAAATTCTTGGAGAAGACACCGACAACGGGAGCAGGTCCACAGCCCAGACAGACCGCAGGAGCGACACACTAGACGCTCTCATCCGAGCCCTGGACGCGACGCAGAGAGACGACGAGGCCGCCAGGAGAGCAAGGCAGTATTGCATCGACCGCAGCTCCGTCAGCGGGGCAGACGCCCAGCTCGTAGCGGAAGGACTGTTGAGGGAAGCAAGACCGCAGCTTGAGCCCGGAAGCTGGATAGCCCGCGCCATATGGCTATGTCTAGCACCGCATTGCATCCCCCTCCTACGACCAGTGCTGCAAGTACGGGGCATGGACACCAGACCCTACGAAGTCCTCACCAGATGACTGCAGCTTGCAGGCATCCACACGCCCAATGACACCAGAGGAATCCTAGGCGAAGGGGGCGGGCAGGCGCCCAACGCATACGCTCCGTTCGAGAACGAGCAAACACGCCTTCTCCTACGGAGCACGGGCCTCAGGGCATGCTTCACCGAGGATGAAGCAGCGTCGACGACCCGCCTCCTCATAGAGAGCCGGGGCACCTCCATCTCCAATGCTACGGACCCTCCCGGGGACGCAGAAAGAGTGCTAAGAGCAGGCGACCCAGAGCCCATGCCAGGATGGGACGCAGGAGACGACCCACAGGTTTGCACCATCTGCACGGGGGATCTCGACGGGGCCGTGGCAGTTCTTGTACTCTGTGGACAAAGGGTCCATAAGCACTGCCTAGAGCAGTGGAAACATACCCAACCGCAGATTTTCAGGGAAGGAGGGAAGTCCATGCCAATCCGATGCCCCCACTGCAGCCTTGCGAGCGCGGCTTGATTTGTGGGTGGCCCACAGCGGCATGCGCGCTCGTAGACGCAGGCGTACGCCGTTGTGGGCGGGCACAAATCGTCCACGGTTGCGCGTGGGTCGCGCGCGCGGCATTGCGACGCGACCGCGGCCTCGCTGCGCAGGCGCGGGCCATCGCGCCGTCGCGCGCGAGGGATGGTTCGCCGCGGGGGCGGGGGGGGTTGGGCGCTGCCCCCCTCGCGGTGCGTGCGCTTCGCAGGTGATCTGCAATTTGGAGGAGGCGCCTCCCTGGCTCGCGTTCTTTCCCCCGCCCTCCACCCTGTCTGCTGCGCGCAGGCGTGGCGCGAGGCCGCCCAAGCGGCGGCGCGTCAGGCCTGGGCCCGTCGCAGCGTCCACGGGGGGCAGCCTCGCGCCGCGCCGCACCCGCCGACGGCGGCAGCAGGCCGGGTCCAGGCCTTGCACGCGCGGCTTGAATTGTGCTGTGAGCGTGCACCAGATCGATGGTCGAGCTCGTTCGATTGGTCTAGGGATGGATGATGAGGTGTTGGGGCGTTGTCCAGTGGGCAACGCCCCACTGCCGCCAAGGTGCTGGGGCGTTGCCCAGCGGGCAACGCCTCGCTGCCAAGGCCTTGAGGCGTTGCCCGCTGGGCAACGCCCCAACGCGATGATCATCATCACGGCGCCAGTTAAGTCCGAATGATCATCGAACGTTCGGCCGCTTCGGTCGCGATCGGTTAGGCCAGCTTCGTGCATCGCGCAGGTCGGGGGCACCTGTCTCGCTCGCGCGTTGCACGTCCACGGCCAGCCGTGCATACGCCATACAGGTGAGATCTCTCGCTACTCCATGGGCCACACGCCCCAGGGCGCCGCGCGCGCCACTTCGAGACATTCCACTTCGGGACCATACATGTCAGGACCATGCTTTTCATAACCACGTGCGCTTCGGGCGTCTGAACATCATGGGGTCGATCGAGCACCTTTCTTAATATTTGAGCCATGCAGGCGGAAGCGATAGTCTCTCGACCCGATCTCCGACAGTGACCCTGTTACACGGTTGTCGGTGTGACCAGCTGTCCTCGGCGACTCGCTGCGTGCCTCTTGCCGCGTGCGATGCATGGCCGTGACATGACCTCATCTACCTCATCGCTCGCTCTCGTCGTGCACCCTTTGTTCTGGATGTCGATGCAGCGCGATGCGTGCGATTGCAGTCAGCATGCGCGGCCGTTGTCCTCGCAACCTCACGCTGTGTGCAATCACTTGGTTGCGTCGCATGCGCTCGGTGTCCTCCACGCGCGTGGGGGCGGGTGTGAACCCGCGGCGGTAACGACGACAAGTGGGGTGAGCTGTGGCACGATGGCAGCGCCGCACCCTAAGTAGCATAAGCAGGCGGCAACGCAGACGACGGTGACGACGACAACCACGACGCGTGCTAGGATGGTGACGGCGTCGACGACCGCGACGACGGCGTTTGCGAGCAAGCGTCGTCACCTTGTATGTCTCCAGGGCCCCATCTCCCCTCCCCCGCCGCCAGTCGAATATGCGCGATAGCATCGTCATCGGCGCGGCCGCGATCGGTGCGACAATCGATGCTCCCTCACATCATCATGGCACGTTTGTGATACACGCTCGCTCACCTACTAGTGTCACGGCTCATTGTCGGCAACGCACGTCCGCGCGCGCAGCGATGAGTGCTTGCGAGCGCGGGCCCAGCGGCCCGGCGAGCAGCGGCATCGCGAAGCGACAGCGTGATGAGTCATATGAGAAGTTAGCGCAGCGTGGCACGAACACTGGGGCGGTCAAAGCGTTGGGCGCGCTACAAGAGGCAGGTGTCTTGAAGGGCGGTGCCCTGCATGATGGCCCATCAGCCCTCGAACGGCATTTGCGCGAGTCTGTCGTCAAGCAGGGTCATGCGATGACGCCTTACGGGGCCGTCATTCAGCAATGGGCATGCCCGAACTTCGTCGTTGCGACTATATGCGCCCCATGGCCGTCCTGCGCTGCCCGCGCCGTCTGACGTGATCGCGCGCGCCGCGTGCTCATGTCAGACTGCTGCGCTTGCAGGCCACTTCGCCTCATCATTTACATCGACGAAGCGGGCCCTGGCAACCCGCTTCGCCCAGATAAATCGAACGCTACAGGCGGTGCACTGGCGTTTGCGGACTGGCCGCAGCGGTTGCTCCAGCGAACTATGGCGCGGCCGATTTTCGGTGCGACTCGGTCAGCGGCGGCGGAGAAGTTGCCTGGCAAGGCGTTGGGCCTCATCCGCAGGGCCCCCCGCGCGTTCTTTCCTCCAGAAGGGCGCTCTTTCAAGAAAGACGTCGGCATCTCCGCGCGCGACGGACACGGGGCCATTTGCGCGGCAAGGCTCAGCGTTTTCCTACGCGATGAAGAATTTCAAGCAAAATTGCGGCCACGAGTGGCGCAAGTGGCACGCAGCCGCGCATCGCGCGCAAGTGCGCGTTCAACCGCTTACCCGCGGCAGCGCTCGCCGCCCCTGGCGCGGCGCCGATAAATTGCCGGGGCCGCGCTGTGTCGGGCGAGTGCGCGAACGACGAGGTGTGCGCAGCATATGATTATAAAGCAGGCAGCC